TATATATAATTTAAAATAAATATTTTTAGTCCTTATATTTATCTTTTTAATCTTTTTTAGTCTCCATATATTAATTAATTTATTTTTTTTAATGTTTTCATATGAGTAACACGAGTTTATTAAATTCATGTGATAATAATATATTTAATTTTTGAACGATGATATGTCATTTTTCTTTCTCTTGAAGAAAATTGACTCATATTCTTATTAATTAACTTTAACAATGTTGCTTGCAAAAAAACTAGATAATAAATTAACGTAATTTAAGGTAACTTCAACAAGGATACTATTATTACATTAGACATTTAAAACATAAAGTTTAAGACATTTGTCATGTTAATACGAGCAACGAAGTTACACAAAAATTAACAACATTAATTAAAAAAATTAAAAAAGATGAATATAAAAATAAAAAAAATTATTCTAGATTATAATGATCAAAAAGTGAAATAATATAAATTAAAAAAATATATGTATGTATATTTCAGATCGAACTCTATCACTTTCAAAATCATGTCAAAGATATAATCCAATCCAATGAAAAAATTCCATTTTTGTTATTTTCAATTTGTTTGGTTTTCAGCTTTTTGGTGTCTTTTATTAGATTATGTGAGTTGATGAACATCTTTAATATTATTCATTAAAATGTTAATTATACAAATAAAAAATTTACACATGCAACATATAATCTAAAATATTAGTTATATAATAAACGAAATAACATAATATTTTTGAAAATAATAAATATTTTTACTTGAATAAAATAATAACTAATTATTCATTACTAGTGATATTATACATTTATATCTTCTACAAATTGTTTGTAGAGTAATTTAGACAATTTTCCTTGCGAAAGATGTTAAATGCAAAACTGAAGTAGATTGAAAAATTAGTCTTAGTAGGCCAAAAAATAAAAACATCATTGGTAGTACTTGGAACATAATTGAGGATGAACGCACATTGATGACAGAGAATGAGGAAATTGGAAGAAAAGAGAGGACGAAGGAGAAAGTAGTGTTGGAATTGTGCTTTCCTTTTTTGACTTGTATCGGTGGTACTGAATCAAATGCACGTTCCTCTTTCTGTTTTTATCTTTCTTAGAAAATCATTATATTGTGATTTGGATTTGGAAGAATATGCATCACGCACCTTCCTTCTATCTTTTTTTCATTTCCTTATCTAGACTCGTGACAATGCCAATGAACATTATTAATTTCATCAACAGTCAGCACAATTAAACAATACTAATATTATGTACGTGGCTTTCCACTCTTCTCACCATACCATGGATGTGAGAGTTATTTAAAAATGAATTACATGTGAATTGATTTATTAAATAATTTTGATTTGTAATATATTTAATCGAATTTGCATATATGATTCACCTAATTATAATGGTAAGAAAGTGTTGCCATGTATAAAACAAAATATAACAAAAACGAATCATATTACGAGTGTCGGATAAAAAAATAAAATCAGAAGTAGAATGCACAATCTTACGCTGTTATTTTTTTTTTTTTTTTTTAACATCATATCAATATCCTTTATACATTACACTCAATAAAAAAAAATATAAAAAAATCTCAAACATATCAATAAGTTTTATTCACATATTTTATATTTCCCTCGCAGCAAGCTATTCCATACATTACTTCTGAGTTATGTATTTAACTAGTCTGAATAACATTTCATATTAGTCTAAATAATACTTCATATTGAAAAGATGTCATATTATTTTTTATTGACCCGGAAAAATCAATCAGAAACCATGAGCCAACTCAATTTATTTTAACTTAGTGATTATAAATAAAATTTGGTTCAATTCACCGACTTGTAATAAGTCATGGTGATTCATAAGTTGATCCACAATAAATATTTTATTTTTAAATTAATTTATATAATTATATATTTATATTATTAATTATATTTTGTATATATTATTTATGAAGTATGATAATTAATATTAATATGATATTATTTATCAATATTTTATATAATAACTTTAATATTATACGATGTCTTTTTTTTTTTTTTGTGACATTTTTCTCCTATCATGAACATAGTTATAATAATACATATAAAAAAATGTTGCTCTATATTAAGAAATATTCTCTCTTGTATATGTATTCGAA